AGAATGTGGGTATGGATACTATACTAGTCTGTTTCTGTGACTTTAAGAAATGTACTGTAAACTTTAATTTCAAATGAGTCGAGCTTGTCAGTTTGTAATTTGAAATGTCTTTCCTGGCCATTATTTATTAAAAATTAAGTGATGAACACTGGTGATGAAAATGTGACGAAACAGTACTGATGAAAATGTGATGAAACACTAGTTATTTTCAACTGATGTTTCTCTGAGTTTCAGTCATCCACCTGGCCCGAATGGGGCGCTCTGGTTGGCTTATAACGCCATGAATTATTAATGAGTTTGAGAATTTATATTGAGGCCAGGAAATGTGCGTGCATTGCGTGCCCAGGCGTCCTTCACGAATGATACCACTGTTTAGAGATTTTTTGTGACATCAAAATCAAAGAAGCCGTTTTGACTTGATCCTGTTCTCAGTTGTTAACTGCTGTAAATTGACAAGATAGGGTTACTTTGGATCTATTTCTTGAACGTCATAACTTTTAGTAAAATTGTGCAAATAGAACAAAAGTTAAATCACCAACACATGCATATCGACAATCGCTTGGCAAACTATAAAAGCTCCCATACTTAATAAGTCATCAGGTTGGACCTGGTAGGTAACATTCAAATTATTAAAAATAATTGGATTATTTGACTGGCTTAGTTTATTCGAATTTCGAATTTTTTTTCTGTTTGTGGCTCAGTACTTATTAAGACTCTTACAGCGTAGCAGTGACGTGCCGAGAGGGACTGTACAGAAGACGACTGAACTGGTGTGGCAGGCGCAGTGGCAAAGCACGCGCACATGTGCTTTTTTCAGTTTGTAAACTTTACCAAGAGGCGGATACGATTATCACGTGAGCCAATAGGAGTTTGCAGTTGAACGGTCGTATTTTGGGGATTTTTTTATCTGTAATACCATTTTAATAGTGATTTTTGGGATCTACCGGTGAGCCACAGAAATAACCCGTAAGAAGTTGAAAAAATGACGAATAAGGTCCAAACCTGTTGTTATAATAGTGAGCGAAGGCTCTGATGCGTGCTTTGCTGTCGGCCAGAGGAATATTTGGCGTTTTCCGTATCTTTGTTACAAGAACGTCGGAGGTAACTTCCTCAAGTGTGGATATCTATCACAGCCCTTTTTTAGGAGTGTAGGTTAGGTTTACAAGCGCACACTTTTTAGAGATGCAACTCATAAGTTGTATCGTGACATGCAATGTCAGATTTTGTGCCTCGAAAATCTTTCTTTAACTAGAGGGAATCTACCAAATGTCAGTTTAGTAAGACACGCAAACACAAAAGAGCTAGGGGATAATGAAATCCAAAAGCAACAAGGATGATTGACTATGGGTGAAGAAGATTGACAAGGATTGTAAATGACTTCAGAATAATAGTTTCATAAAATAGAAGTAACAATCAACCAAGAAGGAAGATCGATGACCAAAACTGGAGAAGACTACAAATGACTACAAAATATAAGTTCAGTAAGGTAGAAAAAAAAGAGGTGAAAAGTAACCAGAGGGGAAAAGGATGTGTTGGGATAGAGAGGATTGATACGGATTGCAAATGAATAAAAACATTCAGAAGCCAGTGAATAAATCAAGATGGAACATGGATAGAAGAGACAGAAACGAGCTGCGAATGAACAACTAGAAATGTCTGTGCTAAATCACTGTAAATTGGTTTTAGATGCGCAAACAGTGACTTTGCTCTTTAAAATTCCGGGTTACATTGTGAGTAAGATCTAAGTTGAAGAAAATACTTTCGTAACCTTGTTTTTTGCTTCAGCTCGCGCGTGTCGGACCAAAAGAGTTTATGCTTACGATCTGCCAAACAAAGGGGGAATAATGCGAGTGTGGCTGAGAGGTTCTGTTGAGAATGTTTAGTTTGTTAGCAGTCTTTTTCAGTTTTTCTATAGAGTCATCTTCCGTAACACGAGTGCAATAACAACCTCGAAGGATTTTATTTTTTCCCCCTCGCTGTGCGTTCGCTCTGCCGTGCGCACTTTGCGCTTCATCGTTGAACACAACCTTAGCAACCGCCCCAGAGCCACCGAGAATATGGAAGCGATATGTTGATGACACGTTCACCGTCATGAAACAACACAACACGGATGGAAACTGAGAATAACAACAAGATCGCCTTCCTCGACACCCTCGTAACAAGAGAACCAGACGGTAAACTACTCACAAGTGTATACAGAAAACCTACACACACCGATCAGTACCTCGCCAATTATTCACACCATCCACAATCTGTTAAACGCGGAATTGTCAAGTATTTACATGATCGAGCTAAACGCATCATCACAAAGCCATCCGGAACAGCCCAGGAGAAAAAACATCAATCCGCAGTCCTCGTCGCCAACGGCTACCCTCCGTCCTTCTTACAGAAGGTGACCAAAACCAGGAATCCAACACCTGAGAGGGAAACAGCATAATTCAAGTCTACCGCAGTGCTACCATACATCAAAGGAGTCGCAGAACCCCTCCGCCGCCACCTACAGCAACAAGGAATACGCACGGCCTTTAAACTTTTTTCTCAGAGGGCACGGTAACGAATTTTTCAATCTGATTGGTTCTTAGCGCGGTTCGTATTTTCCTATCTCTACCCACGGGCACGGATACGCTTTCGTGAGTCACCGAGAATATCGCCAGCTTCGTTGCAATTACTTGATTTTCCGGCCGGGCATTCTTTCCAAGCAAAGTATCTTTAAGCAAATCAAGCCGGTTAATAACTCATTAATCGTCTATTTTCTCACTCTCAAATCGCTCTGGTTGCCAGCAGAAAATTGTTTTCGAAATGAATTTGTGGCAGCAAATGTGTCATTAAAAGGGTTGACTAGCAGCCTTAAAACAGTTTTCAACTAACTTTAATCCTTCAAAAAAAGTAACTCACAAAGTTAAACCTGTGTGAGATTTATTTACAATTGAATTGATCAATAGAACTTTCATTCGTTTAATATCATAATTCTCTCAAACAATTTTTTCGTTAGAGAAAGATGTTTTTTGTCTTGTCACGAGCGCGGGACAAAGAAAACATTCTGAGTCCCCATGAGGAATCGAACCTCAGACCTCAGTGGTAAAGTATCGGAGCGCGGAATCCGAAGGTCTGAAGTTAGATTCCTCATGGGAAATCAGTATTTTTTTCCTCACGCTCGTGACAAGACGGAAAACATCTTTCTCCATTCCTTTACCGAGCTCAAAACTTACCATCTCTCTTATTCTATTTACAAACATGATTGATGTTTGTAGGACGCAGGACGCGTGTCATAAACTTCGTAATAAACATTACTTGCCGTAGAGTCTCTGTGGCTTAGTGGTAGAGCATCGGAGCGCGGAATCCGAAGGTCTGAGGTCCGATTCCTCATATGGACTCGGAATTTTGTCTGTCCCTCGCTCGTGACAAGACGAAAAACATCTTTATTTCTTTCGTTGTTGCGAAGTTTTAAGTCCTACTTCAAATAAGCTTTCGGTAGGTCTTTTCAAGTCGACCTGATTAATTTGGCCATTTGCGCTGTAAATTACACCGCGAAGACCGAATGAAGTAAACGAGAAAAAGCCGCATTAACTTCCCTTGGGTCTAGTTAGTGTCTCATTTGACTTTAGTTATTTGGTGGAAAAATACCAGATTTACACGCGCCATTGTTGCAAAAAAACGAGCAAACTCCCACGACTTCAAAACATACATTTGAATTTACTTACAATTACTTTCCTTGCAATTTACAGAGGTATTCTTCGTACACTAATCGTCGATGGAAGTGAATAATACTTTCCGTAACATCATTAAATAGTTTTGAAAAAAAAGTTGTCGTGACAGTCATTGAACGTGAGTTTGTTTACCAAACCTGCACCCTCGTTTTTTTTTTTCAAAAGTGTAGATGCGCTTTTTTTTTTCTTACGCGCTCACTAATTGACAGGTGTCATATTGTGACAGAAACTTGAAAAAAGAATGTTTCAAAGTTTGTTGCCTACGGCCTGGGGCGTTACTCAAGATCTCGGGCACAGTTTTTCCCAATACGGACCTCCCGGCTGGTGAATAACATATATATCTTTAACTTTACAGAAACGGAAAATCGATGTTTGATTGATGCTCTCCTCAACTAAGACGTCGTCCTTTCGCAAATCTCTTGTAAAGAGTTCCAGCGATTTTTTTGGAGTGTAAATAGTCTTGAAAAGATTCTTTCATTGAAATTGAAATTTTACCTTGTATTTTGCGAAGATAAAAAAATCAGCTTAAGATGTGAAATAGTCAGAAAGGGATAGGCAAGGATAAAGGAGATAAAAACAGACTTCAAATTTTATGCTGAATTATTCAAAGTGCAAAAATCATGCATTGAAACTTCAGCTTATTTAATTCAAAATGGGTATTGCATTTTCTACTTCGTTCATCTTTCGTTCACAGTTACTTTCTTAATTCCATATTTTCAGACATTGATAGCCTGTGAAATTCCGCTCTTCTACCTTGAACTGGCCTTCAGACAGTATCTGTGCCTCGTACCATCAAAGCTTGGACAGTAGTTTGCCCTGCCCTTAAAAGTTTTGTGCTGTATACAATATCCTGAATAGTGTTGAGGCTCTCGGATAAGCTGGAGATATCACAATTAAATGTGGAAAAATGAACACAAAATTGGAGAAAAATTAATTATATACCACCCTCTAGTAGACAACTTCGCAACTTCAACCTGGTCGATAACACATTTTTAGTCACTCTAAGATTTGAGCCGGACTTTACCTATAATATTCTTCCTTCCAGCTTTCCGAAAATGTCCCAACCTACTTCCAAAAATCTTTGAAAATGTGCTGAAAGTTTCTACGGCTTTGTGGCGTCAGGAATGTTAGAAAACCTGATTTTAACAGGTTGTGTAGGTCGTCAGACCTGTTCCGAAACTTTAAAAAACTGAACCTCCAATGATCACAGGCAGAAAAAACTTCTACATAGACTCTCAAAAGCTCTCAGCTACCCTATTTTATATAAGGACTTTCTACAATCGATAAAGTAACATGTTGCTTCAATTGTTACGAGGAAAGGTACGCCTTGCACCGTTGACCCGTTACGGCGGCCCAAATAGACTTCATCTTTTAATTGGAGGTATTGGAATTGCCATGGTGACTACAGGAGCTGTAATGTCAAAATCTCACGCCATAGGGAGAAAGGCAAAAATGATTCTCATGACATGGTTCGAACTTTCTTTTTCCCATTTTACAGACATGTTTTTTTCGGGGGGTTCAGAGGTTTTTTTCATCTTGTGGATTTTTATCTAATGTATTATTATTCAATGGATTATCAAGAAATATTTTGAATGATAGTAGTTATCATAGTAGCCAAGATAGTGATTATATATATATGATAGTCAGGAAAATGATAGCTGTAGTGATGATAGTTATGATAGTAGCTTTAGAGATGATGGTGAACTGGATGATGACACTTTTTACTTTTATGATCAGGGTAATATAAGACATTTAACAGACAGTAATATATTAGAAGCAGAAGAGAAATTACGTAATATAAAAGGATAAAGGATAAAACCCTAATAATATTTAAACATATAATATCTATGTAATGTTATAATATAATGTACTATAATAAAATAATTCATGATGAATCGAATAAAGTAATGTTTCCCTTATGTTATAAGCAAATCAAGGAACGATCAATTATAGTAGAAAAACGTTAATTATCCAGTTATGATAATTAACATAAAATAGTAAGAAAATCAATATACTCCAGAAAAATACTACCTTGATAGGGTAATCTTCAACTTAACGAAAACGTGTGACATAATGATAACCAAAAATAATAAAAATAAGATTATAGCAGTCTCTGAAAAGATAAACAAAGTATTACCATAGATTAATGGTGATAGAAAACGGATGATTAATATCAAACCATTTACCACTTGTGTCTTCAATATTAACAAAATTGATATTTGAACTAACACCGGAAGGATTCAGATGTACGTTATTGGGTGGACCTTTGTATCCATCTTTGAAATGGATTTCATAAAGACAAGATACATTGAAAGTAATATTCTCATGAATTGCGTTAAAAGAAAAATGCGCACTATTTGAAATTAAAACATTAGCTCCACTTGTAACTGGTCCTACTGTAATATTGTTGTTATATGAAAGGTTTTTGTAATAATAATAATAAACACTTTCAGGTTTATCATCCACGACTTTCTTCCCACAACCTGTGATCACATGGTACAAAAATGGACACCTGATAGAAAAGGAGAGGAAGTACTTTGGAGAAAGGAGTCTAAACTTAAAGAAAATTCAATTCCAGGACCGAACTAACCAAATGGCAAACGTTATGAGAGTGATATGGGTCATCGTTAAAGTTGTTGGTAAGTATGGAGTTAAAAAACGTACAAACAAACTGATAAATCACCTTGAGTAAAACAACAGTGTCCAAAACATTCCAATCTAGTATTTCAATGGTTACTTTTTTTCTAATTCGATCTGTTAAGTGAATCCTTACATTGTATCCAGTCCTCCCAATGAAATTCAAGTTCAGCATGTTAGTGATACTGTGAAATTAAACTGTTCAGCCGGTGGCTCGCCTCTACCTAAAATCACGTGGTTCAAAGATGTTCCACGTGTTTTCTCAAGAACCGTAGGTGACGGGAAGGGATTGATAAAGAGTGAAATGGCCATCCATCACCTCAAGCCAAGTGACTCGGGGATCTAACCTTCCTCTGAATCCTATCTCTGAATCTTAAAGAAAAACTTACGAAATACTCACCGGATGACCGAAGTTTTTCTTGTACACACC